AGAACTGAACTAGAACTGAACTAGAACTGAACTAGAACTGAACTAGAACTAAACTAGAACTGAACTAGAACTGAACTAGAACTGAACTAGAACTGAACTAGAACTAGAAGACTAGAACAGAACTAGAACAGAACTAGAACAGAACTAGAACAGAACTAGAACAGAACTAGAACTGAACTAGAACTGAACTAGAACTGAACTAGAACTGAACTAGAACTGAACTAGAACTGAACTAGAACTGAACTAGAACTGAACTAGAACTGAACTAGAACTGAACTAGAACTGAACTAGAACTGAACTAGAACTGACTAGAACTGAACTAGAACTGAACTAGAACTGAACTAGAACTGAACTAGAACTGAACTAGAACTGAACTAGAACTGAACTAGAACTGAACTAGAACTGAACTAGAACTGAACTAGAACTGAACTAGAACTGAACTAGAACTGAACTAGAACTGAACTAGAACTGAACTAGAACTGAACTAGAACTGAACTAGAACTGAACTAGAACTGAACTAGAACTGAACTAGAACTGAACTAGAACTGAACTAGAACTGAACTAGAACTGAACTAGAACTGAACTAGAACTGAACTAGAACTAGACTGAACTAGAACTGAACTAGAACTGAACTAGAACTGAACTAGAACTGAACTAGAACTGAACTAGAACTGAACTAGAACTGAACTAGAACTGAACTAGAACTAGAACTGAACTAGAACTGAACTAGAACTGAACTAGAACTGAACGAGAACTGATCTGAACTGAACTGAACTAGAACTGAACTAGAACAGAACTTAACTCCTAACTGAATTTGCGTCGACCAGCTATTTCGATTTTGGTGTTCAGGGAAAGATCGAAGAAGCTGTTCTTTTGTAATTTTGAACTCTTTTGACTGCTAACCAAAACTGTATTTAGGTTTTGTGTCAATTTGTATACCCAAATTTGTTATTTGTTATTTAACTTTCACTTATTAATTTTATTATTATTATATCTCTTAAAACCCCCTTATTTTTTTTTTACATTATTTCATCATTTTTTTGTCAAAAGTTATTGCACTTACATACAAATATGTCATTATTCAAGTAAATAATAAATCTTAACATTCCAATAACAATAACAAATACAACAACAATCACAAAAATAATAATGTTAAAAAATACCTTAAAAAAAGAAGACATTTAAATACCAACTGAGTGTTGAAAACAATCTTATTTTTTATATATTTTTTTGCAATTGAGTCACATATATTTTTGTTTTATTTTCCTACATTTTATTTTTATTCCATCATTGTATTACTTTGTTACTCTCGTTGGTCTTATTTTAATTATACATAAAACAGGGTTGGAAAGTTTAAGGCATTCATACCTTTTTAGTATTATTTTGTGTTTAGTACTTGGGTATTTATGTGGGGTAAAGAGGAAGTTTTGTCTTCCCTGATTTCTGAAGGAATTTACCTGAACTTTTATGACATTTGATATTTTAGTGAATTAAAAAAATTAACAAACACAGTACTTTTTTAATACTCTTTTGATACCAAACTAATAGTTAATGTTCCATCACTGACATAAACATTTACTTGTACATATAAAATACGAGCTAAAACGATATTCATACGAGGAGTATATATACTCGTATCTATAATTTCGTATTTTCTAAAAAGTACTCGTGCTTTCGAAATGGAGTAGGAAATAAAATTGTTAACTAATATTTTACAAATTGTCTTTTCTGCGAAACTATAGACAAAACTATGGGGAAGATTATAGTTGAGACTATAGTGCAGACCACCTAGTTCTATTCTAGTTCTGTTCTAGTTCTGTTCTAGTTCTGTTCTAGTTCTGTTCTAGTTCTGTTCTAGTTCTGTTCTAGTTCTGTTCTAGTTCTGTTCTAGTTCTGTTCTAGTTCTGTTCTAGTTCTGTTCTAGTTCTGTTCTAGTTCTGTTCTAGTTCTGTTCTAGTTCTGTTCTAGTTCTGTTCTAGTTCTGTTCTAGTTCTGTTCTAGTTCTATTCTAGTTCTGTTCTAGTTCTGTTCTAGTTCTAGTTCTGTTCTAGTTCTGTTCTAGTTCTGTTCTAGTTCTGTTCTAGTTCTGTTCTAGTTCTGTTCTAGTTCTGTTCCTAGTTCTGTTCTAGTTCTGTTCTAGTTCTGTTCTAGTTCTATTCTAGTTCTGTTCTAGTTCTGTTCTAGTTCTGTTCTAGTTCTGTTCTAGTTCTGTTCTAGTTCTGTTCTAGTTCTGTTCTAGTTCTGTTCTAGTTCTGTTCTAGTTCTGTTCTAGTTCTGTTCTAGTTCTGTTCTAGTTCTGTTCTAGTTCTGTTCTAGTTCTGTTCTAGTTCTGTTCTAGTTCTGTTCTAGTTCTGTTCTAGTTCTGTTCTAGTTCTGTTCTAGTTCTGTTCTAGTTCTGTTCTAGTTCTGTTCTAGTTCTGTTCTAGTTCTGTTCTAGTTCTGTTCTAGTTCTGTTCTAGTTCTGTTCTAGTTCTGTTCTAGTTCTGTTCTAGTTCTGTTCCTAGTTCTGTTCTAGTTCTGTTCTAGTTCTGTTCTAGTTCTGTTCTAGTTCTGTTCTAGTACTGTTCTAGTTCTGTTCTAGTTCTGTTCTAGTTCTGTTCTAGTTCTGTTCTAGTTCTGTTCTAGTTCTGTTCTAGTTCTGTTCTAGTTCTGTTCTAGTTCTGTTCTAGTTCTGTTCTAGTTCTGTTTTAGTTCTGTTCTAGTTCTGTTCTAGTTCTTTATTCACAATAATCCTGATTAAAGTCATAATTATAGCCTTTTCTACAGGTTTAATAAATACATAAACATTTTCTTGATAAATCTACTTATTTTTGATATTAATTGAAAAAAACCCCAACTATTTAAAATTTCAATTTGCAACTCCTAAAGCATTTTGCCATAAAATACAATTTAAATTTAAACTACATAAATTTTCCATTTTCTTTACAGAAAACTGAAAATTGCAACAGCATGTACACTTGTATGTAGTACAAATAGCTGTAGTTGTTGCTGCTGCCACCAATTCTGTTGCTGTTGCTACTTTACGATGATTTTGTTCTGTTATATAATTGCATCATACATCCATATGTATCTGAAGATACTAAAACATTTTTATATTTTTAAATTTGCACGTAATCTTTAACACCACCTTTTTTTTAAATTATTTATACCGTATAAATACATATAATATAGATTTTTAATGTAGATTTTGTTCATATTCCCCCTCCCTATTTAAGTTGAGAAGATACGAAGCGAAAAAAAATTTTGTATCTGACAAATTTATTTGTTCAGTTTCTGAATGCTTTTGGCTTCGCTTTACTACTAGAGTTGTTTGATTGTAGTATTCTATGTGTGTTCTGGGTTGCATCCATTGTTGACTTAAGTTTAGCTTAGATTTAAAAAGATTTTTTAAATCTATTTTTTCAATTTTTATTTTTTTAATTTGTTTAAGTTTTTTGTTGTTTTTTTTTTAACAAGGTTTAATTTATTTTTATGTAGAAAACTAAACGTGATTTTTAAGATCTTTTAGTTCCGTCAGTAATGATGAAACATAACAACAACAAAAATTATTTAAATAGAGTTTTGCATTACAGCCTTGACTGTAGATTAACTACTAAAACTTAAAAAAATAATTAATGTAGAGAGCTCAATAGCCTCATTTATAGTCTTGACTACAGTCTAAAATATTTGTACTAGAACTAGAACAGAACTAGAACTGAACTAGAACTGAACTAGAACTGAACTAGAACTGAACTAGAACTGAACTAGAACTTAACTAGAACTGAACTAGAACTGAACTAGAACTGAACTAGAACTGAACTAGAACTGAACTAGAACTGAACTAGAACAGAACTAGAACTGAACTAGAACAGAACTAGAACTGAACTAGAACTGAACTAGAACTGAACTAGAAATGAACTAGAACTGAACTAGAACTGAACTAGAACTGAACTAGAACTGAACTAGAACTGAACTAAAACAGAACTAGAACTGAACTAGAACTGAACTAGAACTGAACTAGAACTGAACTAGAACTGAACTAGAACTAAACTAGAACTGAACTAGAACTGAACTAGAACTGAACTAGAACTGAACTAGAACTGAACTAGAACTGAACTAGAACTGAACTAGAACTGAACTAGAACTGAACTAGAACTGAACTAGAACTGAACTAGAACTGAACTAGAACTGAACTAGAACTGAACTAGAACTGAACTAGAACTGAACTAGAACTGAACTAGAACTGAACTAGAACTGAACTAGAACTGAACTAGAACTGAACTAGAACTGAACTAGAACTGAACTAGAACTGAACTAGAACTGAACTAGAACTGAACTAGAACTGAACTAGAACTGAACTAGAACTGAACTAGAACTGAACTAGAACTGAACTAGAACTGAACTAGAACTGAACTAGAACTGAACTAGAACTGAACTAGAACTGAACTAGAACTGAACTAGAACTGAACTAGAACTGAACTAGAACTGAACTAGAACTAGAACTAGAACTAGAACTAGAACTGAACTAGAACTGAACTAGAACTAGAACTAGAACTGAACTAGAACTGAACTAGAACTGAACTAGAACTGAACTAGAACTGAACTAGAACTGAACTAGAACTGAACTAGAACTGAACTAGAACTGAACTAGAACTGAACTAGAACTGAACTAGAACTGAACTAGAACTGAACTAGAACTGAACTAGAACTGAACTAGAACTGAACTAGAACTGAACTAGAACTGAACTAGAACTGAACTAGAACTGAACTAGAACTGATCTAGAACTGATCTAGAACTGAACTAGAACTGAACTAGAACTGAACTAGAACTGAACTAGAACTGAACTAGAACTGATCTAGAACTGAACTAGAACTGAACTAGAACTGAACTAGAACTGAACTAGAACTGATCTAGAACTGAACTAGAACTGATCTAGAACTGAACTAGAACTAGTACTTAATCATAACTGTATTAGAACTTTGGAAATTATTCGTAATTTGAAATCAAAAATCGCGCTTACCACATGTACACTGCTCTGTAAGTTCGAGGACAACATTGTCGTTGACGTTTCTGTGGGTTTCTTTTCCGTCTTCTTGGCTGTGCGTTTATTTTTGCTCTCCAGAAAACGTTTTTGCAAAGCGCTGGTCTCGTGATTCTGCTGCTCGCACACAGTGCTGAAAGTTTGTTCATAGCGTGGCACACAATCGGTTTGTCGACGTCGATAGTTTTCCATGCGTCGTCGCAGACGTTCAAACATTTGTTGACGTTTGGGTGGCACCATATCGTTGCCGAGCAGGCCTCCCGAACCAATACCGCCATTGGGAGAGGGTACAGCATTGAGGCCGCCTTGCTGTTGTTGGGCTGCAGCGGCTGCTTGTGATAGGCCCGTGTTGTTTGGATTTGTTTGGCCAGAGCTGCCATTTCCGTTGCCGCCAGGGCCCAGGCCGCCGCTAATTCCGCCTCCCGCGTTTGGGTTTCCTGCACCAGCATTTGTGTTGAAGGGTGATCTTTGTGGTTGTTGCTGTTGTTGTTGTTGGTGCTGCTGTTGCACTTGTATCTGTTGTTGCTGTTGCACATTATGTACGTGTTGTTGTTGTGATGCTTGTAACTGTTGTTGCTGTTGCAAGTGTAAATTTAGATTCTGCTGTTGTTGCAATTGTTGTTGATGATGTTGTAAGTGCTGTTGTTGTTGCAATTGTATATTCAATTGATGTTGACGTTGTTGTTGTTGTTGATGCTGCTGCTGTTGTTGTTGCTGGGCGGCTGCCTGATTGGCGCTCTGGTACACTGGAAGACCTCCTGCATCCATAAATACAAATTTTCCTCGTACGTTTGTTGTGGCACACAAACAGTGATGTGATGTGTTTTCTTTTTCGCTCAACTTAAGTTTAAAATTAACTTTTGCTGGGAATTTTAATGAGGCTTAAACTAAAAAACGATTTTTTTTGTAATTTTGTTACAAATTAAGGAACAAGTGAAAAAGGTTTTTCTTTAAACAACTTTCTAATATTATTTTCTTTTGCAAATAAGATGTATTTTTAAATAAATATTTTGCTTTAAGCCACTTGTTTAGCTATTTAAATGTCTGTCTCTTAGATTTCCTTGGAGTTTCTTTAGTTTTGCTTAAATATAACTTTTGTATATTTTTTGTAGTTTTCGTTTCTAGGCCGTCATTTATTTTTATAGACTTTGTCTGTTGCTTTTTCGTTGCCTTCTTCTTTCTTTTTGCTGACTTTTTCCTTTAAGCTTCCTAGCTTTTTAATTCATCAACTGTGCTCTTCTTTTTAAGAGGGCGTCTTTGGATTTTTAATACTTCATCTTATTGTTACTGTTGTTGTTGTTACGATTGCTGCTGTGTATGTTGTTGCTTTTGTAATTTATTAGAGTTCTTAAATTTTAAGTAAATTGTAGACGCCATGTTGGATAATCTGAAAATAGTTTGAAAACAGAGATTTTATTAGTCGAAATTGTTTCAATTATATATTAAAGCATACATTTAGGGTCTAAACTGATTTTAATAGTATAGAATATTTGTAGGAGATGTAAATCATTAAAAATATTGTCTATAGTCCAGTCTATAGTCTAGTCTATAATATAGTATAGTCTAGTCTATAGTCTATAGTCAATAGTCTATACTCTATAGTATACAGTCTATAGTCTAGTCTACAGTCTATAGGCTATAGTCCATAGTCTATAGTCTAGTCTATAGTTTAGTCTATAGTCTAGTCTATAGTCTGGTCTACAGTCTAGTCTATAGTCTAGTCTACAGTCTAGTCTACAGTCTAGTCTATAGTCTAGTCTATAGTCTAGTCTATAATCTAGTATATAGTCTGGTCTATAGTCCTAGTCTATAGTCTAGTCTATAGTCTAGTCTATATTCTAGTCTATAGTCTAGTCTTTAGTCTAGTCTATAGTCTAGTCTACAGTCTAGTCTATAGTCTAGTCTATAATCTAGTCTATAGTCCAGTCTATAGTCTAGTCTATAGTCTAGTCTATAGTCTAGTCTATAGTCTAGTCTATAGTCTAGTCTATAGTCTAGTCTAGTCTTCTAGTATATAGTCTAGTCTATAGTCTAGTCTATAGTCTAGTCTATAGTCTAGTCTATAGTCTAGTCTATAGTCTAGTCTATAGTCTAGTCTATAGTCTAGTCTATAGTCTAGTCTATAGTCTAGTCTATAGTCTAGTCTATAGTCTAGTCTATAGTCTAGTCTATTGTCTAGTCTATAGTCTAGTCTATAGTCTAGTCTATAGTCTATAGTCTAGTCTATAGTCTAGTCTATAGTCTATAGTCTAATCTATAGTCTAGTCTATAGTCTAGTCTATAGTCTAGTCTATAGTCTAGTCTATAGTCTATAGTCTAATCTATAGTCTAGTCTATAGTCTAGTCTATAGTCTAGTCTACAGTCTAGTCTATAGTCTAGTCTACAGTCTAGTCTATAGTCTAGTCTATAGTCTAGTCTATAGTCTAGTCTATAGTCTAGTCTATAGTCTAGTCTATAGTCTAGTCTATAGTCTAGTCTATAGTCTGATCTAGTAGTCTAGTCTAGTCTATAGTCTAGTCTATAGTCTAGTCTATAGTCTAGTCTATAGTCTAGTCTATAGTCTAGTCTATAGTCTAGTCTATAGTCTAGTCTATAGTCTAGTCTATAGTCTAGTCTATAGTCTAGTCTATAGTCTAGTCTATAGTCTAGTCTATAGTCTAGTCTATAGTCTAGTCTATAGTCTAGTCTATAGTCTAGTCTATAGTCTAGTCTATAGTCTAGTCTATAGTCTAGTCTATAGTCTAGTCTATAGTCTAGTCTATAGTCTAGTCTATAGTCTAGTCTATAGTCTAGTCTATAGTCTAGTCTATAGTCTAGTCTATAGTCTAGTCTACAGTCTAGTCTATAGTCTAGTCTATAGTCTAGTCTATAGTCTAGTCTATAGTCTAGTCTATAGTCTAGTCTATAGTCTAGTCTATAGTCTAGTCTAGTATAGTCTAGTCTATAGTCTAGTCTAGTCTATAGTCTAGTCTATAGTCTAGTCTAGTCTATGTCTAGTCTAGTCTATAGTCTAGTCTATAGTCTAGTCTATAGTCTAGTCTATAGTCTAGTCTATAGTCTAGTCTATAGTCTAGTCTATAGTCTAGTCTATAGTCTAGTCTAGTCTAGTCTAGTCTATAGTCTAGTCTATAGTCTAGTCTTAGTCTAGTCTATAGTCTAGTCTATAGTCTAGTCTATAGTCTAGTCTATAGTCTAGTCTATAGTCTAGTCTATAGTCTAGTCTATAGTCTAGTCTATAGTCTAGTCTATAGTCTAGTCTATAGTCTAGTCTATAGTCTAGTCTATAGTCTAGTCTATAGTCTAGTCTATAGTCTAGTCTATAGTCTAGTCTATAGTCTAGTCTATAGTCTAGTCTATAGTCTAGTCTATAGTCTAGTCTATAGTCTAGTCTATAGTCTAGTCTATAGTCTAGTCTATAGTCTAGTCTATAGTCTAGTCTATAGTCTAGTCTATAGTCTAGTCTATAGTCTAGTCTATAGTCTAGTCTATAGTCTAGTCTATAGTCTAGTCTATAGTCTAGTCTATAGTCTAGTCTATAGTAGTCTAGTCTATAGTCTAGTCTATAGTCTAGTCTATAGTCTAGTCTATAGTCTAGTCTATAGTCTAGTCTATAGTCTAGTCTATAGTCTAGTCTATAGTCTAGTCTATAGTCTAGTCTATAGTCTAGTCTATAGTCTAGTCTAGTCTAGTCTATAGTCTAGTCTATAGTCTAGTCTAGTCTAGTCTATAGTCTAGTCTATAGTCTAGTCTAGTCTATAGTTTAGTTTATAGTCTAGTCTATAGTCTAGTCTATAGTCTAGTCTATAGTCTAGTCTATAGTCTAGTCTATAGTCTAGTCTATAGTGTAGTATATAGTCTAGTCAATAATACTAATACTAAGGCTACTTATATAAAAATAGCGAATAATTTTGCAGTCAAAACTGCAACTTAATTATAAAAAAGTATAAAAAATAACGGATGTAACGTACTCGTGCAACATACACCACAGCGTAAGTAACGTAAAGGAGGGATGGTTACTTATCGACTTATTTTGCAAAATACGTGACATGTAACACGAGTAAGTTAAATTTAAAATAATAAACAATAATAAAATAAAAATAACAACACTGATTTTAACATAAACAAAAAAATAATAATAATAGAAAATAAAAATTAAAAATACTCATACATATGTACATTTATAATTTTGAAATAAAAATTAACAAAATAAACCTTTAACAAAAATTATTTAACAAAACAAACACCATAATTTCAAGATCTTTTTTTAAAAAAGCAACAAAAACGGCCATCAAAAAAATATTGTACCAACAATTGTAAACACCAATAACAACAACAAAATATATTATTTGAAAATGTACACAACAACAAATAATTAAAAAGTAAAAACAATTGCACTAAGGTTTGTTTTTTCAAGACGACAACAAAATCTTAATGTTTTTGTTATTGTTGTTGTCGTAGAAAAAAACATCGAGATAAAAACATTGAAAATTTTTTCAAAAATTAAAAATAAGTAACAAACTGACTGAGTGACTGACAAAAACTGTAGAATCGTATAAAACTGGATTAGTTCGCTTTAATGACAGTGTATGACTGTCTGACTGGACGGCATGGATGAATGGTTATGGCTGTTGTTTTTGTTTTTATTTTTTGTTTTGTTTCTTTTTTTTGTTGTCTGTCTGCTTGACTGACTGACTTCTTGTCTGTTTGTAGTATGACTATGATGCCACCAGGCTGTATAGTGGCGCGCTTGTGTTTCATATGGTTGCTTTTTAGTTCATTATACAACTCTAATACCACTCTGACTTTGTACACAAACAACAACAACTGCAAATATACAACAACATACCTACAACAAAAAAACTCCCTAGTAGCAAAAGAGTGCATGAGTATAAGGAAGGGGCAATAACAACAACAAGAGCAACATCATGCAGCAGTGATGCCAAACTGACTGTTTTTAGAAAATAGACTAAACTATAGACTAGACTATAGACTAGACTATAGACTAGACTATAGACTGGACTATAGACTAGACTATAGACTAGGCTATACACTAGACTTTAGACTAGGCTATAGACTAGACTGTAGACTAGACTATAGACTAGACTATAGACTAGGCTATACACTAGACTTTAGACTAGGCTATAGACTAGACTGTAGACTAGGCTATAGACTAGACTATAGACTAGACTATAGACTAGACTATAGACTAGACTATAGACTAGACTATAGACTAGACTATAGACTAGACTATAGACTAGACTATAGACTAGACTATAGACTAGACTATAGACTAGACTATAGACTAGACTATAGACTAGACTATAGACTAGACTATAGACTAGACTATAGACTAGACTATAGACTAGACTATAGACTAGACTATAGACTAGACTATAGACTAGACTATAGACTAGACTATAGACTAGACTATAGACTAGACTATAGACTAGACTATAGACTAGACTATAGACTAGACTATAGACTAGACTATAGACTAGACTATAGACTAGACTATAGACTAGACTATAGACTAGACTATAGACTAGACTATAGACTAGACTATAGACTAGACTATAGACTAGACTATAGACTAGACTATAGACTAGACTATAGACTAGACTAGACTAGGCTATAGACTAGGCTATACTAGCTATAGACTACTATAGACTAGGCTATAGACTAGATTATAGACTAGACTATAGACTAGACTATAGACTAGACCATAGACTAGACTATAGACTAGACTAACTAGATTATAGACTAGATTATAAACTAGACTATAGAACAGACTCTAGACTAGCCTCTAGACTAGACTATAGACTATACTATAAACTAGACTATAGACTAGACTATAGACTAGACTATAGACTAGACTATAGACTATACTATAGACTAGACTATATACTAGACTATAGACTATACTATAAACTATACTATAGACTATACTATAGACTATATTATATACTATACTATAGACTAGACTCTAGACTAGACTCTAGACTAGACTATAGACTAGACTCTAGACTAGACTATAGACTAGACTCTAGACTAGACTATAGACTAGACTCTAGACTAGACTCTAGACTAGACTCTAGACTAGACTATAGACTAGACTCTAGACTAGACTCTAGACTAGACTATAGACTAGACTCTAGACTAGACTCTAGACTAGACTAGACTAGACTCTAGACTAGACTAGACCCTAGACTAGACTCTAGACTAGACTCTAGACTAGACTAGACCCTAGACTAGACTCTAGACTAGACTCTAGACTAGACTCTAGACTAGACTCTAGACTAGACTCTAGACTAGACTCTAGACTAGACTATAGTCAAAACTATAGACAAGACTATAGACAAGACTATAGACTGGACTATAGACTGGAC